TATATATATATATATATATATATATATATATATATATATTTTCAAAGGTGTGGACCAGTTCCTTAAGAAATCCCATGTAGAACTCCACTGTTGTACCCTGAGGAAAAACGCTGAAGTTGAATTTGTTCCGTAAAATATCCATCTGTATAAGTGGGTAAGATGCTAAAAATACACTGGAACGTGTACAATTCATTCTGGACAAAGTCTGTTTAACAATAATGTCACCTAGAATAGTATGTAGCTGCCTACCACACTTCCCTTAATGCCAGAGAGGACATAATCTGTACAATCATTCACTTTCCCAGTGCCTACGGCTATTTACTTAATTGAGCAAATGCCACTTTAGCATTTCATTCACCAGTACAGATATACCCACTGGAGATTTAAACTAGAAGCATCTCCAATTTCTCATATTTTATGAAGATGTTTGGATGAGTAAAGCAGGCTTATGTAAGGTACGTATAATGATGTTCATTATACAGCATATTTCACTTTTTTGCGTTCATTCATTTGTGGGATTTCTTATGTATCTACAGGTACTGCATCTGAATAGGATGAGCAGAGATTTCCATCATCCTCAACCAGAAGTCTTTACAGCCCCCGTTACTTTCCAGTGCTCCACACGGCATCTGTACATTTTCTAAACCTGTGTAAGTCGATTCTTAAACAGTAATAACCGCCAGGCCACAGATATCAATATCAGAGCCTGTGAAAAATGACTCAGCTCGCAGACATAACCAAACGAAAATGACTGCTCCATCCATCTGTCTCGTACCTGCCAGACGGCAAGTTCAGCGCGGCTTAATGTCGCCATTACGAGGGTCTGGTCACCCATCACCACACCCAGGTAACTGCCAGTCATACACACACATCAAGCAACACTGCACACTGTCCCCGTCCAAACAGCCCTCTGCGCTGAATCTGGTCATAATGGTCTGACTCACTGAGTAATCTAAAGGTCCCACATGTGACCTCCTAGGTGTGTCCATCAACAGCCCTCCTTGGTGGGGGGTCCCAGATGGTGCACTAGGGTATGGGGAGGGGGGGGGGGGGGGGGGGGGGCTGGTGGACAAAATGAAAAAGGATTTTACCTTTGAAGCAACTAAATCACAATTACAAATGCACTTACAGAAGGTGAGTCATATATAGCTGAATACCAATTAGCAGCATGTGTCAGCTATACAAGAGGTCAGAAAAGCACTTTGATAAGTGAGACTCAAACGGTGGGGGAGGGAAGGGGGTCACACTGAGGCAGAGGAGGTGGTGTCCGAACTGTAGGTGCATAACTCATAAAACCAAGTAAATTCATTAATGTTCTAAGGGATGCAGTTATAATATCCAAGACAGTGCACGCCAAACACGGGTGTGATTCCGCAGCAGAGGGGACCAACAGTCACAATATCAAAGCTCTCTGAAAGGGGGCGGTGGACACACCTGGAAAGCCACCACAGAACATAAAAGTATAACTTCATAAATTACCAAGAAACTGAATCAGCACCTCTGGGACAGAGTCACAATAAAAAAACGTATGTTATGAAGTTCATAAGGCTGGGAATTTATGGCAGAGCAAGTGCTCAGAAACCACTTATATCCAAAGCAAATTCACAATCATGCATAATCTGGTGCGTCGGGCACAAAACCAGGACCCCTAAGCAGAGGGAAGAACTTAATGATCTAATGAGTCATCTCTCACCTTTTTAACTGCATCTGGACAGGTTTATGACTGGAGAAAGCCAAAGGATGCCTACNAGAGTGAGCCTGCAGGCATAATTCAAACAGTCAATATATGGCATGCAGTAAAGATGGAACATATATCATTAGAGTGCAAAAAAAAAAACTGGAATTTATTAATATTCCTATCCTGACCAGAAGATTAATATGAAGCCACTCCATTTTTTCATTGTGGACCTTTATTAATTTTCTAATAAGCCAACTAGGATTATGTTTTTTTAATCACCCTTCATTTGTATGATAATAAGTGAGAAACTAAGCAACCAGAACATTGTGAAGACCCAGGAAAGCCGATATGACGTTTTCCTCCAGTACCCACCAATGGTTCAGCTGGAGTGAGATGGAGCTGACGGGTACATTAGGGAAAGGCCTCAGGAAACGATCAGCGCGCCTCTGGGAATTAATTACAACCTCCGATCGGGGGAGGCCACGGGTTTACAGAAGGATGAATCCGAATGTGATTTTAGTATTGTTTCAGGCAGATTAGGCATGTCACCCGTTTAGCATTCAGTTATTAAATGCAAGAAGTCATCGCACAATTTCAGTCACGCATTTAATACATATATATTACAAGTCATTCTCCTAAACGAGATACTTATTTTATGATCAGCGAATAATGAAAATTCATATTAATCACTGAAGAAAAGCCTTTGTAATAGCTATTTACATCGTTACCATAAGTGAAACTTATTTGTACTCGTCGTAATAACCGTAAACGGATTTTTTAAGAAAACACCAGGCATGCCATGACGAAACAAGGATATTGCTGCACTTAATAGTCGTATATTACAATCTCAAATATAGTTGCTGATGGTTATTCAAGAGTTGACTATCTTGGGTTAGCCCTGACTCGATTTTGATAAAAAAAATCAGCACATTGGTATATTAGTGCGATAAAAAGCCATGCGTGTATTTGTTAAATTGCCTTCGCGTGTTGCTATACACGACAATCGTTAGGATCAGGTGATAAACATGTACATGACTCAAAATCTTACGGGAAACCCCCCAGTGACCATTTTTCCAATATATGTGCCAAGTTACTATTTAGATGGACATAACGAGCCGACGCCTTAAACGTTCAGTCTGCCACTATGTCTTAAAAAATTAATAACCGCGAAAGTACCTGGGCAAATCGGGCTTTAAAATAGCGCTCACACTCTCACTCATGCAGGTTGTTCTTTTGAATATGAATCAAGGAATCAGCAGCGACGTCAAAAATCAAAATAATACAAAAGAAAAAGGTTGTCGCACTTGCAGAATGATACATAGTTAGTAATCACTGTCGTGTCACTGTAGATGAATAACAATTGATGTTTTATCAACCGGAGACACAGATACATCTACAATACTCCCTTTCCATATGGTTTCAGCCACCGAACCTAATTAACCCCCGAAAAGATAAAACACCGAGCGAAATGTTTATAAACATGAAAAATAGAATTAAAAACTACCCGTTTTACAAAAGTTGAGGAATAAAGCGTATGCGGATTACAAAACAAAAAAACCGGACACATCTGTTGGATTATCTGCATCTCCCCTTTGGAAAACAGGTGTAGCTGATGCATTTGTCTAAATATTACACGGGGTGCATTCAGAAGCGATCCTGGTAACAGCAAACCACCGTTTGCTTCAGCTGCGCTCAAAACTTAAAATCGGATTAATCCGGTGCAACTTACAGCTCGGAGCTCCTGCGTGCGGTCCTTCATGGTGCAGATATGACTTGTGCGGCAGTTTGCCTGGTCCCTTCTAGCAGAAAGATGATGCTAACCGTAATCTCCACTCGCCTTCTCTTATTTCCTTTTCGTCAAATCACTAAGGTGCGGCGGCGCGCAAGGGGTGTAGAAGCGGCGGGAGCGCGCCTCACGCTCCATCCAGCAAGAGCGTCATTTTTCCATTTTCATTCTCGCTGTAAAGAACGAAAGGCGGCACGATCGGAAATAAAAAGGCTGCTTCAGTATTAAACTTTTATCACCTTCGACCACATAGATAATGATAAGTAAGATATATATCGTAGGAGTCACGTGGACTTAGATTGCGATTAATATTGCCTATAATGACAGGGAAACGAAGGCCAGATCTTAGGGGCGTGTATAGTCCGTCATTAGAGCCCGACTCCATGGAGTAAAACGAGACAACGTGATATAAGGTGCAGTGTCTTATACCAACTACATAAAAAATACGAAAATCAGGTTTTTAACATAATTTAATACTTATTTTGGTAACTGTTGGGAAACTTGTAAACGATGGCGACCTCTGCTGGTATGAGCGCCTACTAGCTGCTCAGAGGAAATTTATACTGTACTTTGAAACTTTTTTTTAACCGCTCAAAACAATTATTTTCACCATGGAACTCTACATTTATATTGGAGGGAGAGAGAGACAGTTGGTCGCACACATGACACCAAATGGAAGGACAATGTTCTTCGCGAACAGTTACAGATGAGAATTGAACATCAAACCTGAGAGACATGAGGTTTCAGGTCTCACCACTGATGTCTTGCTGTTCAATGCAATTTAATTTTAGATTACACAGCCTCTGACAAAAGAAGCCGGTATTTGCTAAGAATTCTACAGATGGTATGTCACAATGAGGAAGACCTTCATACGATCCAATTAAACACAACATAGATGAGGCAGAAAGAGTGCATTACAGGCAAAGAAAGTTGGATAAATAAGCATGAGAACTGTAAAGAACAGCTTGTTGAATCACATATACCCATGTTACGATCAATAAAATTACACATAAGGAGGAGAAAAAACATCAATGCAGGATAAAAAGCTCTTTTAATAGGACCTGTTTTTAAATGAACACAGAATTCAGCTTCAACATGCATGATATATGTCATGCAAATGAGTGGATTCTAGTCCCGTGTTCCGCACAGGAGAGCTTCCATGGCGTTCCTGCAAGTACACTGTCCGAAAGCGTGCCCACTTCCAAAGCTCTCCTCTGCGTTTTGTCTCTCCCTCTCGCAGTAAGTGGGTCACGCAGCTTCCACACAGCTCCAATCTCCACAGCTAAAAGCGCGGTTTCCTCTTGCGGCCGGTGTACTTTGTATCAGCACGAACCTCGCTGGACAAGGGAAACACAGACATGCAATTTTAAAATGTCAGTCTTTCTCCAGAGACAAAAGCCTGAAGTGTCTATTCAACTCAATGTTTCCTTGATCCTGGAAAAATGGGGGAGTTTCAGATGTGTGTTTTAAAGAGGTCCCTCTATGGACCAAAGGCTGCATGTGGTTTGGCAATAAGCATCTTTGCTTCACAACTGTGCGTCTGTGCGCGTCTGTGCATGTATGTTGGTTTCTAAAAAAGCTACAAGTTCTGTATTTCATTTGGTTATTTATGGTTAGGGATGGTTAAGGGTTATGCCTGTAGAAATTAAGAGAGTGTCCCCACAACGATAGGAATATAAGTTCTGTGTGTGTGTGTGTGTGTGTGTGTGTGTGTGTGTGTGTGTGTGTATGTATGTATGTATGTATGTATGTATGTATGCATTCATATATATATAAAAAACATTTTTATGATCCCCACCAGGGAAAACTCAATTTGATAAAAAATTTGTTAATGCAATCAAAACACCTAAAAAGTCTTGCATTTCGTTTGGTTACTTAACATTAAGGTTAGGGCTGGGTCATAGTTATCTTGGCTAGGTTTAGGGTTATGCCCATGGAAATGAATGGAGAGTCCCCACAAAGACTGTGTGTGTGTGTCTGTGTGTGTGCGTGTGTCTGTGTCTGTGTGTGTGTGTGTGTGTGTGTGTGTGTGTGCGTGTGTGCGTGTGTGCGTGTGTCTGTGTGTACTGCCTTGTCCCCTCCTTGCCTGGGATAGGCTGCAGGCCCATTGTGGCATATATACAAAACCTTACCCAAGATTTTAAGCTACAGAAATCAATTCAAAAGCTCAATGAAAAATTCACCACTTAAGACTGTACATAGGACAAAGGAGACAAACACAATGGATCACCGTGAGCAGGATAAACACCTGGTTGTCACAGACATGCTGCTGCCTTTTACCTAAATCCCTGTGACATCTGCTTGCATCGATATTGTATCAGTGACCTTGCACACAGCGAGCGCCGCGAGGGGACATACCGGCCCTGCCGCCGCCTCCTCTCCTTCTTCTCCAGGATCCAGTCCTTGCCCTTCTTTGCAGATTTCCCCTTCATATTTTTGTAGCGACACCTTGACGGAAAAGGACAGATCTGGCTTGGAATACTTATTACTCTGATGCAAGCTGAAATGCTATTTCCTGGGCCAGAGAATAATTAAACATAAATTAAGTGAACTGTATCAGAAAAAAAAACACATGTAATTTTACACAAATTAGAAATAAAAGGGACTTTAAATTCCATCTCCTCTAACAAATACACAGAAGTCTATTTAACAAATAATTATTCATACATTTCATGTTAATTCATACCTCCCATAAATAGATTTTCTTTTTCTTGAGTTAAGAAATGAGGATTTCAATATCCTTAAAAATGTTTTCAAATTATGTCGAAATTAAAATGCAATCATCTTAATAAATCAGTGTTTCCCAACTCAGTCCTCAGGAACCCATAGACGGTCCACATTTTTGCTCCCTACCAGACAGTCCACATTAGGGGCAAGGCATGAGTGCTGTGTTTTACCTCTGTCCAGAGTACTGGACCTGATTGGAAGCACCTCGGTCCAAGGTCTCAGATCCCAGGCCCTGGAACAAAAAGAATGCAGACGTACAGCACGTGTTGATTTTGCAGAGTTCAACGCGTCCCTGGATCAACAAGGGAGGGGCTTGCATTTCACTTCTTTAACCAATCACATTCTTCATTGTATGACATCACCGCATTAATTAGAACCAGTGTCTTCTGCTAAGCGGCAAGATGCATAGATTTGTAAAGTACCCATTTGTTGTGTATGCCTTTTGTTACGGAATACAAAACATAGGAACATGCATATTTGCAAAGGCTGCACAGAACAATGTAATGGCGTGTCTATTTTACGATGTTAATAATAATAATAATAATATTAGCAATAACAAGCCTTGAACCAGTGACCTTCCGATTACAGGCACAGAGGCTTAGCCCACTGAGCCACGCACTGATGCTGGCCTGGTTACTGGATGGCTGGAATCCTTGAGTTTGTTAATGAGAACAAAATGGAACGACGCGGTGACATCATACGATGAACACTGATTGGTTAAAGTGAAACGCAGGCCCATCCCTTGTTGACCGAGGGACACATCAAAACTCGGCGAAATCACGATCTCCAAGTCGTACAACCGCTTCACCCGGCCTCCCGCCATCTCTCCCATCGACTCCCAGCTTAAGTTTTGACGGCGTCCCAGCTCTCTGATAGCTGGAGGGAAAGCAGTACCTTGGGCAACACCCCAGAAACTCCAGCAAACAGGCAGAGGAAGAGCCTGCGGGCACAAGGGAAGCCGAAATATCACAGACGAGACACAGCGATGACTCCATCAGACAAGTGTCCAGACTGATTACACCTCCAAACGACGGTGGAGGCAAGATACGGACAGACTCACTTCTTGGCCTTGGTGCTGTTAGGGTAATCCACCACCATGCCCCCAGTGAAACCAGCCTTCATGGCCTGGGCTGTGATCAGTTCCAGCTGCATTACGAAAGCGAAGGGATTGTTAGCATATCGGGCAAGTATACAGCCATTTTCTCAGAAGTCAGTCCTGAAAGAGTTCAAACGTTGCCATTATCCACCTGGTTTTAGGGCTGGGCAATTGATTGAATTTTAATTTCAATTATGATTTTGGCTTCTAATGATTATCAAAACATAATAATCAAGACAAAACGATTATTGTGCCGCATTTCATTTTGCAGTGATGCTCCCGTTTTGTCTGGTGTAATAACGCTCCCCTTTCCAGCCCCTTTTTGTTTGTTTCTCAGTTGAATTATATTTAAAGTTCAAGGAAATCCACTGCAAAAACACAAGTTTAAGTTCAATAAATGCGTAATATTTCCAAAGTCAATGAGTAATCAAGTTAAATAATCGTGATCTCAATATTGACCAAAATAATTGATTATGATTTTTGTCATAATCAAGCAGCCCTACTTGGTTTAACAAACTTTCAAGTTACACTAATAATCACAACACCCCCAAATATTTGCATAAAAGGGATGCACTCAAAGAAATGCTGAATGAATTTAATTTTAAGTTGGCTACATTCAGCAAATACTAAAGTCTCATTCAACAAACTAAAAATATGTCAATTAGTATAGACTACATGGCCAAGTTAGGAAATCGGGAAATTACAAACCTGCTGATTAATAATATACAAAACAACAGAAAGAACAAGCCAACTGCAAACCATAAGCTGCCAATCAGAGTTCAGCTCCAGCGGGAAACATCAGAGCAGAGAATCACTCACCTGTTCAGAGTTTTCTGGGTAGATCTGAAAGATGGCTCGAGCACCGCGGGCCTAAAACAGACACACATACACCCACATACATTCTCAACAACTGTCTGGAAGAGTCCAAAGTGTAGCCAGATCTGTTCAGGATTAATGTGAGATGCGACTGTTCATATCTCATCACACAAGAAGTTGATGAAAAAAACGGTTATACCACTGTTACGGAGAACTAAACACTTGCAAAATTTGTAAATGTTTAAATGCTGCATAATTGACATTGTAATTTCCAGCTCTACACATCTTTCAGGACTAAAACTTTCATTAATTCTCCCATTTTGATCTATAACACTGCTTAATAAATGCATGGCAATTACCAATGAGGAGTAAAGGGTGCTGAAGAACGTGTAGAGTCTTTTGGGGGGGCTGTATGACTTTTTGTCTGCATTGCAGAGCCACTGCAGGGCAGAGATGCTGCAGTAGAAGAAAACAAATACATGTATCTACAGTACAAGAGCCAAAGATCAAAGTTCAAGTACAAGTCAATTACCTTATACAG